ATTAATAATTAATAATTTCTGGAGTTCTTGGTCATCAAGCTATAAAAGTGATTTGTTTACCCATGGATAGTTTACCAAAGTGTTAATATTTTCTTTTTGTCTCTTTTTTGATCCAGTAGGTGGCAGTAATGAACTCAGTGATATAAGATGCCAGCAAAATGCAGAGAAGAAGAAGCAAGACATGTATTGGAAAGGACTGATTGTTTGCCAACAAAATATATAGTGGGAACGACTGTATTTTTTACCAACACTTTTTTGTTTAGCCAGTCACAATTTACTTACAAGTTTTTCCACTGTTCCTGGTTCATACTTGTCCACAGTCTCTGTGTTGATGTTAATTTGCGGAGCATCTACAGCTTCTGTTGTGCTTATCGGCCAGTATGTGACTGCTTCAGTAGAGGGACATTTCTCCTCTTGGACTTTAGGTTCTGCCAACTGTCCTTGTAGACCAGTCCTGATGTGCTCTTTAATATCTGGATGAATCCCATCTTGTCTACTGATCTCGTCCACCACGTAGTGGGCTTTAGCTGACCAGCAATGGATCTGCACATCCAAACTGAGAGTGTCACAAATATACTGAGTCTCCAGAATCAGCCTTGCCCGGCTAATGACATCTGAAATCTGAAAGGACAAGTGGTCATTGATGGACCTCAGGTTGGAACGTGCACGAGGGTCTTTGACGTAATTCAAACTGTCTTCCACGCATTTGGTGGCAGATTTGACATTTCCGACCAGTGCTTTGGTTGCTTGTTCAAATTGTCGATCTGTATCTTCTGCGAGGTTTCCTCTAAAATGTTTGGCTGCAGAAATAGCGATGTTGACAATATCTTTAAGCACATCTTCGTATTCTTTATTCACTTTGCTTAAATGGCCAGAAAGAAGTTTAATTTTAATTAGAAGACGCCGCCGAAAGAATTCAGCTTTGGCAAGTTGTATAACACTCGGGGTTAAGCCAAGCTCCTCCGCAGCTTGAAGGTAGTCCTCAGTTAGTGACTTTAGTTCAGCTCTGCATTCTGTGAGCTGCTTGGATTTGTAAGCACTTCTGCAGTTCAGACTGGTGATTCTTGCAGCCTCTTGGATCCTGAGCGAGTTCTCAGATAAAACCGACAGCTGTTTCTGTGAGCTCAGCTGGTTCACCACGGTTGATGTTCCCAAAATCCTGTCAACAGAATTGAGCAAAATCTGAATGGAGAGACCCCAGAGGATGCAGAGTCCTTCCAGCTGATCAGTGTTGCCTTCATAAGAGGTGGAGAAATCCACAAGACATCTTGTGTTGTTCTGGGCTTTGTTGAGTTTGTTGTGTAAAATACCAAATGTTTCATGAGTGTTGCTGTGTGAGGTGACATCAGATGACGTCAGGAGCTGGACCACCTCGGTACATAAATCCATCATTGCACTGAGCTGCTGCTTAACGGTAGTTGCCCCTGTTGATAGCTCAGTGTTGACAGTGTGATACCAGGTTCCGACTACTGGCAGTAAAATCTTCCTAATGTGGTTGATGAGGTCACAGAAGTGGCTGCTGTGTTTGAAGAGACCCTCCGTGCTCATGGCTGAACTCATGGCCGTCTCCTGAGCCGTCTGGATGAGCAGAGGAGTGAGTGACACCAGCTCTGCTCTGAAACTTTCTAACGTCTGACAGTCAACTGCGTCAACGATTGCCAAGGCTTCCTTTGTAGCATGAACATAATAATTCGACAGCTCCAGGACGCCCGTGCAGACCTGGTTAAGCCTGGTCACGTCTTTCTCTTTAGTCACGGTCACAACTTCACATAAGAGGGGCAGCAGGTCAAGGTCATGACGTTTGTGGATCTGTTTGGGAACTTTGGAGACACCTGGTGTCTTTAAATCTTTACTGTCATATTTATGAGGCACTTTTACTACAACCTCACTTGAGTGCTCCAGCTGATGTTCGGCATGGGAATCTCTCTCCACAAAAAGAGGAGATGGAGAACCTCCCATCGTCTGAACTGGATTTAATTCGCTGATGTCTGGTGGGATTTCCGGCTGACGTGCACCTTCTCTCAGTGGACTCAGTAAATGTGGATGCTGTTGGCCATCAAGTCCCTCTCTTAAGACTTTGACATGTTGAATGACTGTGGAAACACTGTCTGAGAAGGTTGAATACTCCTCCACATTCAGACAGGAGCCCAGAAGCATGGCTCTGACTGAGTCACACACTTTAGTCTGAGAAGACTGAACTTGTCTCAGCAGGACCAGGAGGCCATTCCTGTAAATGGGGTTATCACTTCTGTCCAAATGTCTCTTCACTGAGTGAACCACCAACTTCATGTGACATATGAAGTTGGCAGCCTGTTCATTAAATAGCTGATAATTCTGCTCTCTGTAGGCCGTGTAACAGCCTTGTCGGTCACTGATCATCTCACTTATAGCAACACTGCTGAATTCCTTCACATCCAGGACGTCGCTCACAGCATCCTGAAGCTGACCTGTTTCCTCCTCCCATTTCTGACAGATCTCCTTAAGTTTTTCAACAGTTTGCAGTGAATTATCTGCCAGCTCCAGTGACAGGGCTGCCATCTGAGCTCGCAGTCTTGACAGGCATACCCGTGAATTTTCCACGTTCTCCAAACTCTTGGCATCAAGGGCCACAGATGAGACCAAATTAGCCACTTCTGTAATTCCATCAGTGGAAGAGATGAAATCCTCAACAAGATGTTGAAGGCAGTTCAGATCGTTATCTGGCGAGGAATCTGCCACCTGGATTTGTCTCATCACACGTGATACCTCCTCAAATGTAGGAAACGCTGTGAGGAACGTGTCCAAGACTTGGTAGAGAACAGTAGTCATCACATCTTTGTCAAGGATCTGTATTTGTTCCGCCAACACAGCTGAGGTTCTTTCAAAGCTCTGCTCATCACAGTTGTCTGCAGACTTAAGAATTCTCTTCAAGTCGGCCCAGAAGTGCAGGACTTGACGGCAGTGACTGACCACTTTTTGCTGAAACTCTCTGCGAGAGGAGTTGGCCACAACCATGCAGTGGAACACAAGGTCTCGGACCAAACTGTCAAAGCCACTGTCTGTGACTGTTGATGGGGAAGAAGTGCTTAGAATCTGCAGCACGCTGTTCCGCTTCTCTGTGTAATATCCATAAGGACCCAGTGTTCCCTTATGACATTCACTGTTCAAGGTCATTACAATGTCACCTACTGTGCCGTGCACCTTGTCCAGAATGTACCTTTTGGCTGCCTGTGCCTGCTCACACGTAGGGTGTTTGATGGTTGTGACCATGGCTGTGTGCAGCATGGAGATGCACCTTTTTAGGGTGTCCAGAGAATCAAAAAGCTCTTTTGTCTGTGTGGGATCCTGTAAGGAATTGGCTCTTTCCAGCGTAAGACTGTTGAGCTGTAACAAGGCCTCAGAAAACATCTGGAAAGATCTGAGGAAAGACGAGACATCTAACGAAGAGCCCAGCTCAGAGAGACGCTCCAGGACATGGTCTGCAGCAGCTACAACTCTCCTGATGGAGGCGTCGTCGTCCACCAACAGAACCTAACAATAGAGATGTTGCAAATTATTTCTCACAGCCTGGTGATGGATGAGGCAGCTGTACTTATATGTCTCTCTTTGAAAGGTTGTTCTATGACAGCTAAGACAATGTTGGAGTCTCTCTCCACCAGGAGAGGAAAACACTTACTTTGACCACTGCTAGGAAGACGTTTTGTGTAGCACTGATGAGCTCCTCTCTGTATAGGGCCACACCTGGCTGGATGCTGAGTTTCTGCGCTGCCAGCAGCACATGTTGTCCAGACACAGAGACTGAGTCCAACAGAGAGGACATCTCCATGAGCAAAACCTCATCATCTGTCTCACTTATTCTTCTGAAAGTGAAAAAAGCAGTTGACAACACTTGACTCTTAAACCCTTTCAACCACCTTCTGAGTCTGGACTTGTGAAACATGTCACTTACTTGGAGGCCACTGCTGCTAAGTTCTCTGTAGCTTTGGCCACAGCTCTCCCTGCCTCCTCCAGGTGAATAAAATGTTCAGGATCCTCAGCCCCTTCACACAGCAGAACCAAACGACATAAATGACAGGAGATGGGAGCGACCACCTGCTCAACGGCCCGCGTCCTGATCAACCCGTGGTCAAATAAAGAAGACATGGTTAAAGTGCGAGCTCTGTTCCTCAGAGCTCAGTGTGTCAAGGTGCTGCTGTTGTGTTCAGGGTGGCCTAATGAGGTATTAATAATTCACTGTCCTCTACAGAGAGTCTGCGCTTGGCCACAGTGTTTCATAGCAACTGTTGACACCTGAACAGGACAACATCAGTTAATGAATATGACAAGGATAAAGGAGTCTCTCTTTTATCCTTGTCATATTCATTATTGTAGAAAATATATATTTTTGCTCTGAACTATATTTCTGTGTTGTTTATTTAAAACAGACAATTATAAATGTAGGGAAGACTGAATCTGGCAAAATACATGAAAGTGTCCTGAAAAAAAAAAGGGCATTTCAAATGTTTTTTGTGCTGAGACCAAGAGGAACATTTTATATTATCTAGAAAAAGTAAAATAATTTTTGAGAATGTATTCTATTAATTACTGCAAATATATATATATATATATATATATATATTGCATATTTGTAGAGCAAGCGTTACTTCCTACCGGATAAATGTTTAAAGAAAAAAGGTTCAGATAGCAGTCAGTTACCGCACAAACATCAAGGTGTGGCCTGTCTATAAGCCACCAGCAGAGGTCACTAAACACTAGTAAAAACAAGAGAAGAGGCAAGAAGAGGGAATTTCACTCTAAAAATTTATCCAGAGATAAATATACAGCTCAAACATGACTTCAGAAACATACAGCAAACTATGTATAATGGAAATAATATTCAGTGACAGTAGTGTACTCATAACAAAAACAAAATACAAACAAAAAGGGTGATTGTGGACAGCACACAAAGGAAATATAACCATCACAGTTAAATTTACCAGAAATGTCAAAAGTCAGTTTGTCTGCATGACGTTTAAATCTGGGTTTAACAGCTGCAGTAGGAATAAAGTGAATCTGCGAAAATGAAAAAAATGAAAAGTGTCAGAGGTGAAATAGGGGCTTTTTAACAATTCCTTGGAGATTTAAAGGTGACTAAGCACTGAAGTCCTATAAATATACATTTTGTTTGTTGTCAAAAATCACCATCCAAATCTCTTCATTTGTCTTAGAATTAGCCAAATAGGTAGAAATAGTCAGAAGAATTTTAGAATTTTGAATCAGGGAAGTGTCTGAAATATTATGAAGTTGTTGGAGATTATTTGACTTCTAACTAGTTTCAAAGAAGGTTTCAAGGTTTTCAAGAGAAGAGATTAGTCTGAGGATTATGACAGGTCCCTAAAATTTTATGATCATACTCGCGCTGAATATTTTAGTTTGATGCCAACAGGAGAGTGAAATACAATTAAGTTTTGCAGATCTGCAGCTGTTTAAGTATTTTTAATCTCTAGTTTGGGGAAAACAACAAAAACATATATGAATATATATATGAATTCTGCAAAAATTCCAAACATTGAAACCCAGCATTTCATAGACATGTTAAACATGAGCACTGATGAGCCGTGGACTTTAGTTGTGGGCAGAGACCGAGGGCACTTACATTCCTTCATGTTGACTTAAAATGAGCTTTTCCCTTGAGCCCTTAAGAGCGCGTCTAAGGGTCATGATTGACTGTAGAACATTCCCTTTTATTTTGGGGGGCATTACACACATCACATCGTCCCATGTAAATGACTGTAGCTGGACTCTCGGCCCACATTTCCATCTGATGTGGGGAGTATTGAAGCTCATATTTCACATTAAAGTAAGATTAAAACTGAACAATGATTCGAAAAATAAACCCCAAAGTTGTTTTTTCTTGGGAACAAGTATTTCTGAAAACCCCACAGAACATCACCCCCAAGAAAATTTGGACCTCAGTATTTTGTTTTATATACAGTACGTGTGCATATATATATATATATATATANATAGACTCCAAGAAAGTGTTTTCCTGGGAGTTTTCCTGGGATGATTTTAAGGCCAAACCCCCCATATAAGTCTGAAGGGCTTCCCAAAAAAACAAAACAAAACAAAAAAAAAAACTAAGAAAAAAGGCAAAATCACAATCCTATGTCTCGGTCTATAATGAATCATTTCCTATAAAACTCATTCCCTTAATTTAAATGTCCATCTAAAGATCCGGGCGTGAACCTTAAACAATCACACACAGCAAAAGCAGCATCAGTTCACTTCCTGCCGGGCAAAAGCATCAATGAAAGCATCAAAGCGTCGCTCAGTGTAAGGGTGTCAAATGTAAACCAGTCAAAATCTCTTCTTCAAGCACCAGAGACCAGGACCAATGGAATGCTTGTGAAAATGTGTAAAGCCTGAAATGCTAAATGGAACATTTTCTGCTCTAATTTACAACCCATGCATTACCTATTAGACACAGTCAGTGGAGGAAATCTGGGAAATGAAGTGTTAACATCTTAACGGCAGTGACGACCACTGTTTCCTGAACGGGGACGTCAGGATCTCTGGGGTGATGACACCAGGACACAGGGTGTTCATGGTTGTGAAACGTCTCAGACTAATTGTCAAATGAGTAAAGAGCTATGCACAGGCAAGGAAATACAGAGAAAGTACTTATCTTTCACTCCAATCAAAATTACTACTCGTCAACTCTTTGGCAGTCAACGTCGCACTAAGGAGCGGAGCCAGTCATTCTTATCAGACATCAGTGCTTTTAGGTAAACATACTCTACGTATGTTCTTAATGGCCTTCACTACCTCAGCTCTTCTTTAAAGCCCACTTCTAAACAATATGGCTTAAAGTGTATGTATAAAAATAAATCTACTATGTCACACAGCCCTGAGGGTTTCCTTGTCCGGCGGTCAGTATTCACGCCATATCCTCGTCTCCTCCCGGATGTGAGTCTCCATCGACAGCCAAGCTCTGCCTGATGGAAGTTCCCTCCTTTGAGATTAGCTGAACTCCACAGTGAGTGTCTTCTGGCAAGCCACACTGTCACCTCAAAAACCTGTTTCCTTGGCCCCACCCCCATCCTATCCCACCCACACTAAAAATATCTGGTCTCCAATAAATATGGAGAATATTCTTTTTCTTCCACATATGGAAGACTGAAGGCCCTGGTGCCACTGGGGCGTCCAGGCGGCGGCACCTCGTGCTATCGGATCCTGAGAGACCCACTTGTTACCCATCTCGTTGGCTCCTCTGGGATCCCCCCCCCCCCCCCCCCCCC